CACTGGCATTTATGTTTAGAAGAGGCTGGCAGAAAGAAGCAGCCCACATTTGGATGCTTAAGGTCTCTGACATACCCATACATAAATCATTTCAGGGCAAGGCTGTCATCCTGCATCTCCTGCTCTGCCTTTTAAATGGATGGGACCCCAACATCCCATTCTCCTCAGGGTAAGGAGTGGGGGTGGGAAGTTCACGGAGAACAAAGAATAGTGACTTCCTTTTCCCCCTACTAAAGACAGATGTAGTAAAAAAATAACTACATTATAATGTTTGCCCACTTTAAAATACCAAACGGCAAACAGGTAGACTGAACGATAATGTTTGAGAGCCCCTAAATCTACACAAAGATGTGTCTATTAAAGGAACATGGAAATGAATCTATTAAAGAAAGGCTAAGTGTGATTGATTGCAGTCACACGTGCTTTCATTTGTAGAGCTACATCTATTTAGTGATTGCATCTTTATAAAGATACATTCTGGATAACAGGGGCAGTTATATTTTTATTTCATCTACCAAGTTGCTGTTTCAAATAAAGAAACAGATTTACAGTAACTGAAGAACACACAAATCACATACAAAAAAAAAAAAAAGCCAGTTATTTTATCCTTTGAGTGTGGCTAGCAAGGCTCCTTTGTGTCTACAAATTTCCCTGGGTGGTGCTGTTGCCAAGAAATTCTAATTCATGACAAGGTTTTCTGCGAATTGGGGACAGAGGCAAACCTGCGGATGGACAGACCCTACAGTTTGCTTTGTCTTCTGGCTGATATACCTGGTGGCCCAGGCCTGCAGAAGGAAGTGCAAAGGCAAGATCTTCACATAAAAGGAGAAGCAATGTGGCTCACAGACCAAATCCCATCCCTGGTACCATGAGGCTGTTCTTGGAATGCAACCATTTCTGTAGGTTTTCCCCTAGAGATTCCTTATACCAAAGGCCCTCATAAAAATTGTTTCAGGGTACCTGAAACCAAGATGAAATTGCAGTGTTATGGGGACACTTTAGTCCTTACAGTAGCCAAGTATGCCATTAGTTTAAAACAATAGGGGAATGGGGGAGGAGAGAGGAATGTTCTATGATTTATTTATTTGTTTCCAGTAGCAGTGGAAAATTTTCTCCCAGCAGAGACCTGAAACTGACCCCATCTGCCAATTATGAATCAGCATTAACAATAAACATAATTCCATAAGACTTTTCAAGCAAACATGAGATGCTCCTCAATGACACGATGCAAAGCTAAGTCCAAATAAGACTTAGATCATCACTGCTTGACCTGCACTCATGAAATAGCAGACTAGAGATAGAATATATAAAAGTTCTAAAAGTCTTTATATATTCTAGAAGAAAATAAAAGCATTGTATCATATTCTTTTTATTTTCTAAGTCAGCAGTGTGTCTAAAAACAAAATCATGATTTCTATTGGCAAAAAAAGTCATGAATGAGTTTCCCTTTACCCATATCAAGTGGTACCCCATAAGAAACTCTGGTTTCTGTCCTACCCTTGACCTTTTCCTACTTTTGCTCAGACAGCTCTTGGAAATTTTCCTACAAGTTTTCAAAGCGCTTAAGGCTGGTAGTCTTAAGAATTTTGCGTCAGCTGAATTCTATAAAATAATAGACCACATGAGCACAGTGTAATTTACAGTTATATGACAGGCAGAAAGATGATGTTACTTGGGCCAAGTGCTTAAGTATGCAGTCAGAGCCCAGGAATGGAGAGCTGTTAATGTGTGACGTCCATTTGGATTTCAGAATTATACCAGCAACAATTATTTTCAGACTTGGAGCTATGTGGCTAAGGCATCATTGCCAGAAAATCCAATGTCAAAATGAGGATCTCCCTGACAGGAGGTGGCCCTGCCACAGTCAGTGACTTTGTCACAGGCTCACTGACTATTAGGCAGGACAATTATCCCATATCCTAAGTTTAAAATAAAATCCCCAAATCACTTATCTTCAATTTTCAAATGTAAAAATGTTCTTGAGTTTATCATCGAAGCCACTCTTTCTCTAGAAACCAAGTCAGATTATCAGAATCTCCACATTTCGCTCATCTCCACGAGCCCAGGTACATTGTTCACTTTAAGAAGAACAACTAATAATTACTCCTCATTTGACCTCTAAAATCTGATTACCCCAGAGCAAAAGGAAACTTCTTCCTGTCTGGGGTTCTTTGCAGAAATCTTGCTGAGCTGTTTTGAGCAAAAGAGTCTCAAAATTTCATCATCTGATAGTTGATTTGGAACTAACAGCTGCATATCACCATCACCACCCCTTATACTCAGAAGCAGCAAGACGGTTTGGGGTGGGGGAAGAAGGAAGGGATAGAGGCTAAAGGTTTTGTCATCAGTGTAAACCTATGGTCGTAGTCGCCTTTATATAGAGCAGTTGAGACTATGGAGTCCAGAGCATAAAGCTCACTGGAGTGATATATTGTTTATTAGTGCTTCCCCACAAGTTATGCATCAGTATTGGCTATAAGCATGCCGCTGAATAAGTTGGCTAAGGGTTTTAAGGTGAGAGTGGCTGGCAGTTAGAGAGGGTTAAGGCAAGAAGTGAGGGGGTTCCGAGGGGTGAAAAATCCTTTGCCTGTAGAAACTGAACTAGAGCTTCCCTGAAGGGGGAGGAGGCAGAGGAGCAGGGGGAGGAGGGGAGAAGGAAGAGCAGAGATGGCTTCTTAGGAAACAATAGATCTAATACATCCTCTAATTGTCAAACCAGTGATGTTTCTTTGCAGATCTAGAGTTTGTCCTGGATGGTCTAGCCAGATCTAGAAAAGCAGGTTTCCTGTGAAGAGACCTTCCTCCAAATCTGGCTTTACTACTCTGAAAACTTGAACCAAAACAAAGTTGCATGATTCATCAGTAGGGAACGTTCTAACAAATAAAGCCAACTTTCTTCCTTCTAACACTGCTTAACAGTTAGTCACAAACAAGGGCTGCCTTGGGCAGGCTGACTAAATCAACAGATTCCCTTCTCTAACCTGTCTAGACAGTTGTTAATATGCAACCGATTCCACACCAGTGGGCTGACAGTGTGAAATGAAGGCTATTTCAGAAAATGAAATTCAGGCAACATTTTGGTTTAATTAGCATTGGAAATAAAAGGAAGAAAAAGATCCAGTGAGGCCCTTCATGAGATACACTCTCGTTAAGGATAAGGATGCATCGAATAAAGACTTTATGCTAAAAATATGTGAACTGTTTATGTGTTCACAGAGAGACAGTCAAGCATCTGCCAGCGTCCTTGGACAGGAATGCATGTGTGGTGGACACACTGACACCAGAGGCCAATACCTGGAGGAAAACTCACAGCCTCTGACCAGAAGAGAACTAGTAACAATGGTAGAGTTAGAGGATCCGCTTTGCCACTCAGCTCCTTATACCAAAAGCCAAGCCTCTTTTGCTAAAGCAGCGACTGTTACATCTCAGCCTCAAGCTGGCAAATCCTGCATTGGATCCCGGCAGAGGAAATTCAGCCGTTCATTAGCCTTAACAAGCTGCTGTCACTAAGCGGAGAAGTTACATGAGCAGCCACACACCGAGTCTCTCACAGCCCTCCCCTCAAGGGCAAGCGGGTTTCTCCAGGACGGACTGTACAAGTTCACACTTCCTATGTGCAAATCCGGACTGTCTTCTTGGACTTTCCATGGTGCACACTGTAGAATTTTTAAATACCCGTGTCCCCCTGCCCCCACCCACCATCTTTCCTGCAGAATGTCCCCTCAGCAGCTCCTAATCGCTGCTGAAAAAAACCACTGTTTCCGCAGCAGAGCCAGCACTTTCCACTGACCAGCACTTTCTTTATTCCACTTCACAAAGCCCAGTGAACTTGTCACCAGCCCCGCTTCATCCTCCCTGGGACGGCTAGCCAACTTGGCATCGGTGCCCTTCAGCATCCTAGGAGTTTCTTAACTAGTCCTCTAAGACAAAGTCAGAGGCATGGAAGCACACATCAGTCTTTGTCTGAGGTTGTGCTGCCTAACTAGAGAAGGACCCTAAACAAAAAAGAGAAACAAGGACACGCATAGAGGCATCACACTGGGAAAACCTACAATGCATTGTCAGCCTCAGCTACATCTTCCCGTCCTCCTTGAGTATCTTTTGTCACTGGGCTCTTTTCTCTTTTGCCTACCTTCTAATCTCAAAATCAAGCTCCTATTCTTTATTGACACTCGCTAATTACTGAAAAACACTCCGCTTTGCTCCTGCCCACCCTCCCCCCGCCCCCCATCCGATGGTCGTAAGCACCAGTTGAAATAGATGAACCTGATTTCAGGTACCAAGTGGGTAGAGCTCATGCATGCGAGAACGTGGTCCCTGTCAGCAATCGCTCCTAACACCCCAAACCACCTTCCCACCCGGCTCCTCCGAACCCCAGAAGTTCGGCAGGTCTCTGATAGGGGACAGCAAACCCGACAACGTGTGCGCAGGGATGTGTGTTGGCGACTGAAACGCAGGCAGCTCGGACCGGCTGCTCAGCTCGGCACACTACGAGGTTAGGGGTGGGTGGAGAGGTAAGCGCAGATGACTGTTTCAGAAAACATTTTCAACAACAGACAGCCAAAAAGGAAGGAAAAAAAATCAAACAAACAAACAAAAATTTCGACCCAGAGCCCACACCAACGCAGCCCCTGCGTCTCCGCCGCCACCACACGATTTACACAAGTAATTTAAATCATTCACCTGCTGCCAGGTCTCCTCCAGGGATGGCAAAGCTGAGAAGTAGCCGGTGTCGTGGACAAGTTGTAGCTCCTGGAATATACTATAACTAGCCAACACGTCCATGCTGCTGCTGCCGGGCAAAACGGGAGGCAAAACCCTCCCCCGAACACAGTTGGGGCTGTTTGTTTGTCAGTCTGTCTGGCTCACCCCCCAAGAAGGCAGACATCCAGTGGCCCTTTTGTTTTGTTTTGTTTCAGTCAACTAAAAAGGAAAAAAAAAAAAAAATCAATGCAGGAGAGGGAGAGAGGAGGTGAGAGAGGAGCGAGTGAGTGGGGTGGATGGAGAGAGGCATCCAGCGTGTACAGTGCAGACGACTGCCAGGAAAAGGGGACTTCTCCACGGGAGTAACAATTCCCTTCCAGGGCTCTAATCACTCCAGCTCGTGGATCAGGAAGGGGGATGCAAACTCACTGACACGAAGCTGCCATCTATTTCTGCAGCGCTGTTCGCTCCTAATGCAATCTTTGCTCTTTATTTTGGGAGGTTGCATTTTTTTCTCTCGCGATCGCTTCTCTCCCCCCCTTCCCTTCCCTCCCCACCCCCCACTCCATCCTTGCTAGTTTGTAGTCTTCCCCCTCCCTTTTCTCCTCCTCCTGCTCTTCCCCCTCCCCAAACTCCCTCCCTCCGCCCGGTTCTCCGCGCAGCCGTGGGATCTCGGAGGAGGGCGTCCATTAGGCCGCGTGTGACCATGTAAGGTAAACAGGGGGCTCATGAAGTCACTGAGGACCAATGGGGAGCCCGGAGCGGGGCCTGGGGCGGGGCTTGGCCCTGGCGGCGGGCGCGGATTGGCGCGCTGCGGATCTCCCTGCTGCCTTACAAGGCGGTGCGAGGCGAGCTATTTTTAGAGGGCTATATAAGGGGGCTGAGGCGGCCGCCGGGCGGCCGGGGAGCGCGAGCGCAAGGGACGGGGAGGGTCGCGGCGACACTCGCGCCAGCTCCCGGGACGCCAGGGCGGATGGGCTCGGGTTGGTCGCCGGCCTCCGACCCTCGACTAGGTGCCTGGCGGAGCCCGGTGCGTCCGGAGCCCGCGCCCCTCAGAGGGGTCGCGCGTCGCCGCGGCGGCGCTGAGGCTGGCGGTCGGGAGGTGAAAGTCCGGATTGCGGGGTCAGGACGCCTCCTGGAGGGGGCGCGGCGCAGGGGGCCGCGGGAAAGCCGCCGAGGGCGCGGAGCGGGAAAGGAGGACACTGGCCACCTCGCCTCCGCCTGGGCACGGGGCAAGGGGGACCCACGCGTGGCGGTGGCGGGGAGGTCCTCACGTACTCAAAAACAAGCAGAAAAGGCATCCAGGGCCCGTTCCCGAACTCCCCACAGACTGGCAGGGTGCAGAGAAGCGCCTGAGGAGGAAGTGCCACACAATGGGCGAGAACAAAGGGGAGCGGAGCGAGACTGCGGCCTGCGCCCGCCCCCTGCTTGCGCACAGTCCCCGCCCCGCCCCGCGGGCGCCGCCGCCGCCGCCCTCCCGCGCCACCTTCTGACCCCGAGCTGGAGACCCGGTCTGGAGTCCGGCGGCTAGAGGTGGTTGCGAGGGGCCTGTTGCTCGAGTGTGCGATGAAGAGGCTAGAGGGAGCCTAGGTAGATGTGGGAGGCAGGCTGGAGCTGGCAGCTTGCAAGGGGGCCTTTACGTGAGGCTCCCCATGGGGTCTCCAGCGAGTTGTCTGCAGAGCTGTGATGGTGAGAGGAGGAACTCGATTTCTCGTTTTCTGGAGTTGGGATGTAGACATATAGAGATCTGTTACATCTGAGATGAAAACCCTGCACAGTACACGTTAGGGTTGGCCAATTGTTTGCTTGACCTTAAATGGTTAGTGTGGTTTAAGCTTCCCCAAAATGCACTGTGAGCTGAGCTTCCACTTTTGGAATGATTGCAGAATTCGGTGCTTAAGAGATGAGAAACCGTTCTACCGGTAATGGAAGAAACACTTCATCTAATCACCCTCCTTGTCTTTCCCTCCCTTTGACTATGTAGGACTCGATAACAGAACATTTGAAAGATTCTACTCTATGAAACAAGCACAGATTGAAATTCAGTATTTGCCGAGGAACATTAAACAGGAGTTACTGGGATTGAGGAAAGCCTGATTTATTTACTTGTTAGTGTCTGGAATTATGTTGGCCAGATTCATAGCATTCATTGTATGAGTATAATTGGTACATTTACTCCAATGTAGATGCAGACGCAACTGCAATTAGATGTGCAAGGACGCTGCCAGCTAACTAGCTGCATGACTTCGAGCGAATTACTGGGTCAGAACTTCTACCTACCCATCTCAGAAACAGAAATAGTGGCATCCACGTTGTCTAATTGTTATGAAGAGTCAGAATATCTTTGGTAACTCACCTAGCATAGTATCTGACACTATTAGGTGAATACTAAATATTAGCTATCATTGGCTCCCCACTTGAGCTACGTAAACTAGTAGGACCATTAGGAGAATATACTATTGGATCTTGGAGATAGAGGAAAGGTAGAAACCCCTTGCTAGTTTGTTACAAGGTGTCCTCTCCTCTGACCCCCATGCTATTTCAACTCGGGGGATGGGCAGGAGCCATTGAGAAACACTAGGGCAAAAATATGTTCACGAATAATAGGGAAAGGAAAGGAACTTGGGTATAGAAAAACTAGAGGCAAAAGGTGAGGCAAGACCAACCATGTAATTTGGTACTTGAGACTCAAGTGAACTTATGTGTGTCACATTATAACCATTTTTGAATAAAACAGGACATATCGGTTAACGTGAGTTTCAAGATTTTATAAATAATAGTTACCATTTATTAAGCACTTGGAGTGTGCCGTATGTACATAAACATTTTATATGCAATGTCTCATTTAATCTTAAGGACAGCCCCAAGGTTTGCACTTTTATTATCCCCAACTTTATGGATGAAGATACCCAGGCTTGGAAATACTAAATAAGTTGGTCAAGGTCTCACAACCTGGAAGTGGTCAAGCAGGGATTCAAATCCAAGAGCATCTCACTCCCCACACTGTTCTACACTGAGCTTTGTATGGTGAAAAATGGTCAATATATGTTTTAAGTCAATATATGTTTTAAGTCAATATATGTTTACAAAAATTGCTTGGGTGGGGCCGGAGGAGGGGGCTTCCATTGAGACTTTTCCTATGTAACTATCAGCCATCTGACTTGCAAAAGGACTCAACCAAAATTTTACAAAGCAAATACTGCAAACCTCATTATGATCTTTGCTCCAAACTTTGTAGAATATTTTAGATTCATTTTAAGAGATTTATGCAGCAAGGCATTCTGAAAGGCACATTTTCAATATTAGTTATATTTAGCTACTTTTCATAGCCTAGAGACCCAAGATTCACATTGCAAAACACATGCAAGGTATCCAAATGTACAAAGTAATCAACAAATTAAGATCACAAGAGAACTTTGGCAGTTCAGCAAACCAAAATAAACTGCACTGTTATCACTACCACTTACTCATTACCTTCTTTGTACCTGGCATTTTACACATACCTCTGATCTCCACAATCCTGTGAGGGAGCTGTTAGTGCTCCATTTTTTTAGATGAAGATACTGAAGTTTAGAGAGTGCATGTAATTTGCTCATTGCCATGGGTCCAGTAAGTGGTAAAAGCAGATTGGAATACAGGTCTGCCTCCAAATTGACTCCAAAATCTATCTTCTCCACAAGTATTACCTTGGGAGGTACTCATTTTACTTCTAATAATGTCACTCTTCGGAAGTGATCCTATAGGAAACACCCTAGAGTAAATAATAAATTATCCCCCCACCCGGGAGAGCTTAGAAATAAATGAGGATATTTTAAGAATAAAATAGTAAAAATTTAATATGTAAATAGACACATTCAAGGCATCAGGCTTTTTCCACCAATAAAATTCTGCTTCATGCGTATAGGAAGTCTTTATTATCCCAGTGTGATTAGTACTCCTGAGAGTAAATCCACTTAAAACAGGGACCAAATTTCAGACCAATCAGTGAAGAAAGGTTTGCCTGAGACTTGATATGAAAATAAAACTCAATGTTATTAAAATGCATTTATTCTGGCCTGTATGGGCACACCTCATTTTATTGTACATAGCTTTATTATGCCATGCAGATACTGCTTTTTTATATAAATCGAAGGTTTGTGGCAACTCTGCTTGGAACAAGTCTTATCAGCATAATTTTCCCAACAACATGTACCCACTTTGTGTCTCTGTAACATTTTGGTAATCCTCACAGTATTTCAAACTTTTTTGCTATTATATCTGATAATGGTGATCTGTGATCAGTTATCAGTTTTACTATTGTAATTGTTTTGAGGCACCATGAACTGTGCCCAGATAAGACGTAGAACTTAATAACTAGTGTGTGTGCGCGTGCTGATTACTCTACCAACTGGCTCTTCCCCTCCCTCTCCTCAGGCCTCCCTATTCCTTAAGACACAACAATATTGAAATTAGGCCAATTAATAACCACCACTATGGCCTCTAAGTGTGCAAGTGAAAGGAAGAGTGACGTATCTCTTTTTTATTTATTTTTATTTTTATTTATTATTATTATTATACTGACGTATCTCTTTAAATCAAAATCTAGACATAATTAAGCTTAGCGAAGAAGGTATATAAAAAACCGAGATAGACCAAAAGCTAGGGCTTTGCACCAAACAGTTGGCCACTCTGTGAATGGAAAGAAAAAGTTATTGGAGGAAATTAAAAATGCTACTCCAATAAACAAACAGATGATAAGAAAGCAAAACAGCTTTATTGCTGATATAGAGAAGGTTTTAGTGGTGTGGATGGAAGATCAAACCAGCAACAACATTCTTTTAAGCTAAAATCTAATCCAGGGCAAAACCCTGACTCTCTTCAATGTTTTGAAGGATGAGAGAAGTAAGGAAGTTGCAGAAGAAAAGTTGGAAGATAGCAGAGGTCAATTTATGAGGTTTAAGGGAAAAAGTCATCTCCATAACATTACAGTACAAGGGAAGGAGCAAGTGCTAATGTAGAAGCTGCAGCAAATTATCCAAAAGACTGACCTAAAATCACTGATAAGGGTAGATGATGCAGCCTTCTATTGAAAGAAGATGCTGTCTAGGACTTTCATAGCTAGAAGAAGAAAGCAATGCCTGGCTTCAAAACCTCAAAGGAGAGGTTGATTCTCTTTTTAGGATCTAATGCACCTGGTTTCTTTAAGTTGAAGACAATGCTCATTTACCATTTTCAAAGTTGTAGGGCCCTTAAGAATTATACTAAATCTACTCTACCTGTGTTCTATAAATAGAAGAACAAAGCCTGGGTGACAGTACATCTGTTTATATGATGGTTTACTGAATATTTTAAGGTCATTGTTGAGACCTACTGTTCAGGAAAAAAGATTCCTTTCAAAATGTTACTAGTTGACAATGCACCTGGTCATGTAAGAGCTCTAATATAAGGAGTTGTACATGTTGTCATGCCTGCTAACACTACATCCATCATGCAGCCTGTGGATCAAGGAGTAATTTCAGCTTTTAAATCTTATTATTAAAGAAATATATTTCATAAGACTATAATTGCCATAGATAGTGATTTTCTGATGGATCTGGGCAAAGTAAATTAACTTTCTGAAAAGAATTCACCATACTAGATGCTATGAGGAACATCTGTGATTCATTTGTGGAAAAGGTCACAATATCAACATTAACAGGAGTTTAGAAGAAGTTGATTCCAACCCTTCTGGGTGACTTTGAGGGGTTCAAGACTTCAGTGGAGAAAGTAACTGCAGATATGGTGAGAATAGCAAAAGAACTAGAAGTAGAGCTCAAAAAGGTGACAAAAATGCTGCAATCTCATGATAAAACTTGGATGAATGAGAAGTTGCTTCTTACGGATTAGCAAAGAAAGTTCTTTTCTGAGATGGAATCTACTTCTGGTGAAGATGCTATGAACATTGTTGAAATGACAAACTATTTAGAATATTATTGTACATAAAATGAGTTGATAAGGTAATCACAGGGTTTGAGAGATTGACTCTCATTTTGAAAGAAGCTGTACTTTTGGTAACATGCTATCAAACAGCATTGCATGCTACAGAGAAACCTTTCATGAAAGGAAGCATCAGTGTGACAAAATTTATTGTTGTCTTTTTCTAAGAAATTGCCACAGCCACTCCAGCCTTCAGCAACCCACTCTGATCAGTCAGCAGCCATTGACATTGAGGAAAGACCTTCTACCAGGAAAAAGATTATGACTTGCTGAAAGTTCAGATGATAGTTACCAATTTTTAGTAGCAAAATATTTTAAAATTAAGGTATGTATATTGTTTTTTTCTTAGACACAATGCTATTGCACACTTACTATAGTATAGGGTAAATATATGCACTGGGAAACAAAAAACTTGCATGACCCACTTTATTGTGATATTTGCTTTATTGCAGTGGGCTGGAACCAAACTCAGCAATATTTTCAAAGTATGCCTGTATTTAATAATATTTATGTTGCAAGTACAACTGTGCTAATTGTAAAATGAATAAATCAAGAAAGTTATTGTTGGTTTAATTT